AAAGAGTACTTGAAGAATACCACAATGTTTACAGCACCTATCCCACATTCGATAGGCAGTAAATACCATCAGGCCTTCATACTAACTTTTCCGTTACTATCGCAGCATCCTTGAATACCTCCAGGGTCATCTGTGAGGTTTTCCAAGACGATTGAAGTCGCGGTGAGAACCTCAAGCGCTACTTTTCCATTCTTCTGAAACGCGCGTGGCATGAGCGAATACCTCCAGGCATACTCTTCAGAACGCCCCAGATTTACCCGGCACGCGGCACTTGACGTGTCTCTGTCACTTCCGAATGCTAGTTCGTAGATGCTCCATCTGGTCAAATCCGTGATGAGAATCAACGCGCACGCGAGGTGATGGAAGGGCCTCGGCTCAGCCGAGCAGCCGCCGCATTTGAGCTAGCGCGGAGCAACCGAGGTCCAGCTCCCACCTCAGCGCGTCACTTCGCCGGCCCAGCCACGTCTTGACATCCATCCCGTTTTCGCTTTGTGCCGCCGCGCACGACAGCAAGATCAAGACAAGCGTCTCTCCGTCGGAGCGCTGTGCTGCCAGAACAGCTCCTCAAATACTGCACTGTTGCGACACGCTCAATCTCGAGCTCTAATCTTACGGCAGAGTCTCTTCTACCAGCCTCCACGACCTCCATTCGCGATGCGCGCTTTTGAGGCCATGGCTCAACAACCTCTATCATGGATGGGCTCAACATGGCAGGTTCATACAATACCGTCGCCATTGTTACAATAGCCTGTTTCACGAAGACCAGTGGCCTCCGCATCCGCGCATCCCTGGCATACATCCGGCCTTGAGCTATGCCATGGACGCATGCAGACACAAAGAACGCAACAGCACTTGGACCCCGAACCAAGTGTACTTTACGCGCAGAATGATCCCATGCACTTGATCTTTTGCTTGCACAGCATAACGGATACAGACACCCAGGCCGTTCTCTTCTCGTGCCACCCATACCTTGCTATCAAATACGCCAAACGCTTATCTCTAGAATGACGGGAAGGCGGGGGCCTGCCCGAGGAGCCCGCGTTGAACCACGAAATCATCACGGTATTCCACCCGCTCCCAGACCAAGGAGACGCTACAAACCCGGCACCGTCGCCCTGCGCGAGATCAAACGATACCAGAAATCTACCGACCTTCTGCTGCTGAAGCTGCCCTTCCAACGCGTAGTCCGCGAGGTTGCCCTAAGCGTCTCGCGTATCGATGGCCCGTTGCGCTGGCAGAGTCAAGCTATTGTGGCATTGCAAGAAGCGAGCGAAGCCTTCCTAGTTGGCCTGTTCCACGATGCCAACCTTTGCGCTATTCACGCCAAGCGCGTCACGATTCAGCAGAAGGACATTCAGCTTGCGAGGCGGTTGAGGGCGGCCTGGGGCGCGCCTGTGTGAGAGCTGGCATAGGCGGCCGTGGCCATACGATCTGCGAAGAGCGTCGCAGTAAATTCGGGATCACCGACCGACTGGTGGGGAGTGGTACATGTGCCGTAGTTGTCGGAGATATCTTCATTATAGGGTGAGGCGAGGAAATGGACGGTGCGACTGACGTTTATCGCCCCGCACCCCAGACTGGCTTGACTATGCATTCAAAATTCCTCATTCGAGCGCTAAAGACTCTTGCTGTAATGTCTGCCCGGCTACAGGCTCCTTAGCAGCCAAAATCACTTGCTCTTTCCGTTGTTCTTCTTGATCGTGGCGTTAGTCCGTTTTCAGTTAGCATGTTTTTCTCATTGGTCGCCATCGGCCGCGACGCGACCTCACCTCATAACACGAACAACATGCGTTATCATGCCGAACACACCCAGCAACGCCCGCCGTGTGTTTGAGCTTCGTCTTGCCCAGAGTGCGCTGAGCCCGCACGACCGAACCGCTGCGCCCACGCCGCTGGCTGATCTGCGGACCCTCGACGACCTTGTATGGACCAAAGAGGCTGTCTGCGTTGCCGCGCTCGTGCTGGGATTCCAGGACTACTACTGCGAGGACCTTGAGGCTTTCGAGAAGCGCGTTCAAACTTCACTCGGAGAGACAGGTGGCTGCAAGAGCTTCCAAGACGTCTGGCACAATATCAAGGGTGTCACCGAACACTGGGGCGCTGACTGGTGGACCGTCCTCCGGCGACACCAAATCCAGATCCAGCAAGTACCGTCATTCAACCTTGCCGTTTACCTGAACAAGTACTCGAAAGCTGCGCAGCCGCTCTCGGACGTTGTCGCTGAGATCCAGGCGTTCGACAAGGTCAGGCGTCAAGATCTCATCAGTGTCCAGCGGAGATACGATCCTACTAATCCGACCTACTTCGGTCAGACTGTACGTATCTGAGCCACAGTTGGACCTGTCACATGCACTGACAGCGCGTTCTCGCCTTCACAGGCTCAGCGTCTGGACTGCAAGTCGTGGCGATTTTTCCATGACCTCATCGCGTGGAGGGACAAGCGATCGAACGACACCCTGGCCGCAGACGTCTCTTCTGAGCGGGCGCGCCGCCTTGAGAAGCGCCAAAATCGCCCATCTAACTCGCCTGACAAGAAGAAGAATCGCAAACGGCGTGCGGTAATACCAAGGACACCAGCTAATCCTCGGGATCATTCGCGCTCGCAATCAGTCGAGCGACCTAGACGGGGCCCATCAGAATTACCAGACGACGATACGAGCCTCTTTGAAGACCATCGAGACTCACTGTCATTCCAAGATAGCACACTCCAAGAAGAAGACCCTCAGGACACACTCAACAATCAGGAGAGTCCCTTCCGTCGTAACAGCATCACTGACCTGGACACTTCTCGTGTCACCGAGGACGACCCATCATTCGGGGGCGACGATATCATCCAGCCATCCACCCCGGTCCATAGTATAGACCTCATGTCACTCAAAATGCTCGCACAGGATCCGGACTTCCGCGCGGTCATGCACATCATTGTCAAGAAGAAGAAAGAAATCCAGTCAGCCAAGGAAGACAACTCTCAAGCTACATTCCATCTTGCCCAGGCGCAAGAGACCGCTCGTAGTCATGCTTTGGAAGCGCAGAAAGCACTGCAGCTGAGTACCCTGCCAAGCGAAGATAGCCTGGAACAAATCAAAACGGAATTCTCTGCTAAGCTCAAGGCTACCCGGGACTACAATGATCATCTCGCAGGAGACATCACGGCGATCACCAACTTCGCCAGCTTAGGGGTAGCCTCGGCGACTCAAGACGTGACCAAGCTAGAAGCCATGAAGGATGCGTGTGAAGCGGAGATCAGGCAGATAGAGCATCGTGTCACACAATATGGAGCTTGGGCTGAGAAGATGGGCGCCGCAACGACGGAGGTAGAGGAGGCGAAGGAACGTTCTCGAAAGGCAAATCAAGTCCTCTTGACAGCGGATGATATGATGCGAATAGCGGAGCTGTGGCTGGGTAAACCAAGCGCTAAACTCTCCATTGAAGTACTGGAAGATCTTCTTAAGGAGCCACTGGAAGGAGAGTAGATGTTGAGTTCATGTTAGACCTCAAGCCTGTTGTTTCGCTTTCGTCATGTTTATACCCCTTGCTTAACAATGAAGCTCGTAATTTCCGCATGTACACACTGGGCAGCTTCTGGGTGCTCACTGCGATTGATATCGATATCAATTACCAATTGTCTCCTTCGCCAGATGCTGTGATCGCCGTCAAACTGGAAATCCCTGTCAAGCGCAACGGAACGATGAAATTGGTGTTCAACACCATTGTGATGGGTCGTCGCGATCGCAAGGCGCGACACTTGGCTGTGAGGTCACAATCAAGAAATGGATGTTGCCTATAACAACATTCTGAGAGCGCGTCACTCATCGAAACATCCCTGGGATACCTTGTGCTATGTGGTGTTTATGTCGAATGCGGAATTGGGTCTTTATTATTACAGGCGTACGCTGGTGTATATATCAAGAAGCGCAGAACTTGGCGAGCAGTTACGCTTTGGTTGTTGATGTTGTAAAGACAGGGGCTACGCAATGGAGAGGACCGCCGAGGTTATCAATGTGCGCTTACGCATTGACTGCATATATTATTCCTTCCCGCATGCATACACGGAGGCAATGTGCGGTACTTCGACAGGTCTGATCCAGCCTCTTTGACACCGTGCTTGAGACCTTAACGGCTAGAGGTCCTGTACATCTAGATGATTTCGTGGTGATGGCTAAGCATTGTACTCACTTTCTACATTGTCATTCATTACATTAGCTCCTGTAAATAACATAATATAATTCTTAAGGCAAAAGACATATCTCCAGCGCTAAACACTATTCCGCTACTATCTATCATTCGATGCGTATAAGATACTATCCCGAAGGAATCAACCCCGAATGCAGAATGTGCATTAGAGAGGTTTTCAACGAGGCTAGTTCTCTTCTTGTCTCCTTGTAGTCTGTACTGTTTCCGCGCGATCTAATGTAAGGTCTTGCATCAATATTACTGCCAAATTATCCCCTAGGACGGATGTTTTAATAGAATTTCAAACCGTATTACATTCGTAACGTAAACACTGTTTCTTCTAGCATCTCTAAGATGGTGTAGTGTGCGACGTTTCCATACATTATGCTGCATAAATTTAAGGTAATTAAATAGTAAGTGCGATAACTAAAACGTAAGATTAACATTCAATCTACATGTTTTAGTGCTCGCCATCCTGTTGTTCTCAAGATTGCCAATACACCAATTCAAAGAACTTGAAAAGCTGAACGCAACCTGCAGAGGTGGGAAGGCTACGTTGCCTCAAGAGCTGGTGAAACCTTTAGTCTCGTCCCAATGTATACCGCACCGTACCTTTTTATTTTTTCTTTCGCATAAGGTGGGTGCGACGCTCAGTGAATACAGGGCGGGGTTGTTGACGCCAAGCACGCTCGCGCTAGCCGCTCAAGTACAAAACGCCACCCATGAACATTGCTGCCTTTCACTACATATGCACTATTACGGCTAATACGCATCGCACAACCGACTATATACCGCAAATTCGCACTTCCTCCGCGCGATACTCCACCATGAGCTCTACTATGCGAACCTCCAGCGACAGCGAGCGCTTGTCTCTCCATCCCTCTTCTACTTCATCTCCTCCTCTTATATGCCCTCAGGTACACTCTGTCCCACTTTCTGAGCTGCCTACCCCGCCCAAGTCATCTCCGAGTGACTCCGAGATCAAGAGAGAGGCTCAAGAGTTCTACAAACGTCTACAAGATCTTCACAGCCCCGAGTGGATTGGTGAGGAGGGTAATCAGGAGTTCTTCCGCGTAACACCTGCAGTCTGGCTCGCACTGCAAGATGAAATCTTGTTGAACAACGACAAGTTCAGTTGCCACTACGACGCTAAGGAAGAGTGCTTGGAGGTCAAGATGCCCAGCGAAATTCACGAGAGTGTCAAGGGTCATTTCGTGACCGCTATCTGGGACAAGCTGTGCGCGATGAAAGAAAGAGCCCCTGCGAACTCAGCAGTACGAGAGATCATTAGCAGCATCAAGTATCAAGGCGAGCTAGCCGGGAAAGCATCTGGCGAAGACAAACGTCGCCCCGATGTTGCTTTTGTCTCCGGACAGCGGCGAAAACCTTCACTTGTCGTCGAGATTGGGCACAGCCAAAACGGAGCCACCGAATTCAACCCGATAGCTGATAAGTACATCGGCGGCAGTAAAGGTCGGATCAGAACCATGATAGGCCTTGACATCGAATATCGTACTCCTGACTCGCGAGAGAGGCTTCGCACTACGAAGAGATGGGCTACCTACCAGATATATCGAAGCCGCATCAACAAGAAAGGCCGGCTGTACCCTCACACCACCAAAGAACCGGTTGTTTTCCAGAATGTGCATGGTGTCGTTAACCCTCGCGCTAAGTTCCGGCTCGATCTGGCCGATTTCATTCAGTCTGACGCCGGTAAATTCCCCCAGTACCGCATCGAGATTTCCCACCAAGAATTGTGCGACATCATCGCAAAAGGAGACGAAACACAGGATGATTACGACGAAACCGATTGCGAGGACAACGCGTCACTTGAATACTCCCCGATCCACAAAGGATCGCCTGCCATCGACGACAATGACCGTAGTTCTTCCAGTATCGAGGCGAAAGGTGATAAGGACACCGCCTACGTTGGAAAGCGTGCGCGTCACACCAGCGACGACGCAACATCAGTTAGCAAGCGGCGGACACGTAGTAGCGGCGCACCTACTAGCGAAAACGCAACTCCGGTTGGTGCGCGACAAACCCGCAACAGCAAGAGAGGTCGAGCGGCGAGCGGACGGAATGGTAGCGGTGTCGCCGCAAAGCGCACAAAAACCAAGAAACGCTAGAGTGGCTATAGCATGGCTCTCCAAAGGTTTTGGTCGGGAGGCAAAGATGATACCCGCGTTCGGCTCGCCTTGAAAGCGGCCTTCGCATACTTTTCCATAGACTTGATACCCCGGGCGCTGCCCTTCTGATGTACGATAAATACTGAACGAAAATGACCACGATAATACCATGACATCTCATTCTGCTGCATGAGCCCATGAGCATACGTACAAGGTTTCTATCGTCTTGAATACCCCCCGACGCAGTTGTATTCGACAAAACCTCTTTTGTGTATAGACATGTGATCGAGCTGCAAAGAAGATTGACAGGTGTCAGGCGGGTATTTCAAGAGATGATACGACATGAAACAGGTGATGTATCTGGAAAGCAGTGCTATAGTAAGCTAAAACGAGGTGACTTGCGTCGAAGCATCTGTTCCATTACCCCGTCACGTATCCTACCTCCCCCCTCTCATCAGTGTCCACCAGCGCATGTTTGGTCTGCATCAGTACATAGCTAGACTTCATCCTCATCATCCTCGTCATCAACGATGACATCGCCAGTCCTGGGATCTCTGATGACCGACTCTCCGACTACCATGTAAGGTACGCCAGCGGGCACAGGCCTGCGCTTGACCTTGTCCTCACCCGTCAAAGCAAGTTCATCCTCGCTGTCAGACGATCCATGGTGAAGAATACTAGAACCGGCACCTCCACGACCCTTCTTCCTAGAGTTACCGTCCTTCTTAGCCTGTGGCTTGCGCACAGCGGCCTTGATCCTCTTGCTTGGGTCACGGACGATATCCTCATCCTCGTCTTCCTCATCCACATCCATGTTATCCGCCTCCTTCTTGATCACCACAGCACCTCGCTTCTTGGGGGTAGTAGCAGCGACCTTCTTGGCCGTCGCGCCGGCGCCTACCTCATAACCCAAGCCCTCCTGCATCTTGCGCGCCTCAGCGCGAAGAGCGGTGATGCGGTTCCTGATACTGCCGACGCTGGAGCCGGGGAAGACCTTGGACAGTTGCGAGTATTCGGCGGGGGTGACGGTGCGGCCGAAGATGAGGAGGAAGAGCTTGCGGTCGTTGGCGGCGTCCCAGGTCATCTTGGTTGGACTGGAGGAGGGAGACGCGGCGAGGCTCAGGGGCGAAGAAGGAGCGGGTAGGAGGGGTTTCGCGGGTTTGGCCGCGCGCTTCGGGGTGGTGTTGGCTGACATGGTGAAGAATATGGTGACGATGGCGAATGAGGAGGGAGAAGATCGAGAGGACGGTTTTTGTTGTCTGTTGATGCGATCGGTTTCCCTGTGATATTGTGAGTAGCTGAGTCGGAAGTGTGGGGTAGATGGAATGAACGTACGAGGGTATCGCTCGGCGCGACGGGCGGATGAATTGTCGCAGTTCGGGAACCAAGTCGGGGAAGTGCAGTGCTGTCTTCTTTGAGTACTGACTGTCTGGCAAATCTGATATCAATGGAGATGCGACGCCGGAGTATGAGTTCTTTTCGGTGGTCTAGCGATTTTGAAGACGAGCGTGTACCTAGGTAATGTGGCTCGTGTTGGCGCGAACGATTAACCAGATCGGGCGAGTTGAGTGAAGTAACACTCAGGTAGCATATGCCAGGTTCGACAGATATAGTTCCAGGCCAAGAAGATAGATTTTCGAAAAGAAAGACTGAACATGATAACACCTGCAGACTACCCTGTTATGGTACTCGAGGAAACATCCATCGTTCCGAGCTTGATGTTCCTGCTCAGCTCATCGCCACTGGAAGATGCAGTCAGAATGACGAAGCATGTTGTGAAGAGGGTGGAAATGAGCTGCGCAAAGCCCTTGATGTTGTCGATAAGAAGACAGTACTTCGACTCAGGAGCGAGCGGCTTCCAAGATGTCCACACTTATTTTCTCTCGAACCAGGTTCGGGTTCGGCATGCAGAGCGCGATGGTATTAGAATGTGGTCCCAACTGGATCGATGATATCGTACACAACCCGCTGATGGCAAGCAGTAAGGAAGATGCGAATAATGTGGGAGTCTTGAGATCCTTTAGGCATGATGAATCAGATGTACGAACGAGGGGCCCGTGATTTGCGTTATCGCGCTACACGGCTGTTGTTAAGCTCCTAGCTGATGAGAAAGGGCACGCGGTCTAGCGGATGAGCGAGCCCCCAGGGCCGGGAGTGTGTGGCATGCATATCGTTTTTGGGGTCTCGATGGCCGATGGAACGTGTGCACCTACTCAGCTAGCTAACCAAAATGCCGGCCGACGGCGATCAGTATGTATCGAACTTCGCTCAACGGGCCCTTTTGTGCTGGAAATGGACTTGTGTCACCTTAGCTTAATATTCGTGATGTTTCTGCCCAGGTAAATCCGCTCGGCCAGCTTCTGTAGCCATTTCTAGGCAATGGCCGCGGGCTTGATACCCAATCCGACCACCATGATATGAGCATCTGAAAGGCTAGCTACCTGTGTTACCGACTTGCGCTGTGATATTGAATCTGGCACGAGACGCAGAAGACAGGAGACTGAACAAAGCTGGCATGAGGTGCAGTTGAGTGATGACGTGAGGGTTGAAGATCCAACCTTGGACACGTGGATCTAGCGTGGCCGCACCCACCCAAAATGCTGACATCACGAGCGAGGATTGGACGACGAGGAACATCAGATGCCACCAGTTACACTACTGCGACCTGCGCGAGCGAAGGAGTCCCGCAACACCGGACCGGTCCGCGTACCTATTCAGGATGCTCTGCATTGCACTGTAGCCCGTTATGGTAACGAAGCGCCGCGTGAAGAACAGATTTCGATAGCCCCGAGATATACCCGTGAGCCCATTACTGCCTTGATCCCTCTAAACTTTGCATTATTGCTGCCACGTCTATAGATCCGCCGCCCCTCTACTGCAGTACTCTACGAGAACAAACCCATGAAGCGGATGCCCTAATCGATCCACGCCGCACCAAAACCTCTCCCCGTGCGCATCATACCTCAGCCCGTTCTGTGTTGAGTTAATGTCGCCGTGGTCATACTCGAGTCATGACTGAAGTGTGCGGTCGATGCGCCGAAGGCGGAGGGCGCGAGCTGGTGCCCTGGCTGGAAAGAGATGGTCAACTTGGATGCTAGATCAAGAGGGAACGAGAGATCTCACTGTTGCCCCTAGCCGGACACTCTGGCTCTCTTCAGCGCGTCCGGGCGGGTTGAGCGTCGCAAGGCTGTCCGCCGGCGCCGTCTTCTTGCCGCCTGATGGCTGCCGTTCTGGCCCTCGGTATCCAGCCAGGGCCTCATACTCCTTGTCCCAGTCCGCCCCCAGGTCCCTCTGATAGTCAGGAGTCACCAGATCTTCCGTGTCTCGTTTGTCGCGCCAATCCAGCCCTTCGTGCCAGCCGTCCTGTTCGGGGTATGGAATGACGAGCCGGCCGCCCACCCGCTCTATGATTTGCTCCGGAGTGTCGGTGAGGTGCGATTTGGTCGAGAAGGAGGGGTTGGGCTGGCCTGATTTCGGGGTGTCGAGGCGTACATTGCAGTCTGCGGTGGACGACGCAGTCCTGGAGCTGTCAGTCAGGGAGAAGGCCGAAGAAGCGCATGTTTGGTACCGTGGTCTGTCTTTGGTAGTCGCAGAGCGCTTGCGACCGAAGCAGCACATATGCGCAGAGTGCAAGAGTCTCGATATCAGGAATGTGCAGTCGTGGCGTGCATGGAGAGCGTTGGGGCTCCACAGCGGCGTGGGTGAGAGTCTGCGTGTCTGTTGTCAAAGGGCGACCCTTAACGAAACTATACGGCCAATACGGAAGGTCGCACAGCACATCGCGGGCCTCAACCCCCGGAGCCGCATTCTGTGCGGCGTCTTGCAAAGGATGGCTGCACGTGATGGCAACTCCAATGCGATGCCAACTCAGCTATTGCGACACCGCAAAAGCGATGCGCAGCTGAATTCGCGCGAGGTCGTGGATGGCGTACTGAGCCAGCGCAGGCTGATGATGAGGGCGCCCGGAGTTAAGATGGCCAACCCGCCCGGCGATAACAACGCCGCCTGTGTTCTCTCTCCACCAATTCACCATGGTATCTCTACCACTCCACTCCACAGCAGCCATTGCCTACGCGCGGGGCACCAGGCTTTCTATCGCCATCTTCTGTAGCCCTCATTATGGCTGACCTCATCCTCTTGACCTTGGCAAATCCGGCCAGCGAAGAATCACCACCGCGATGAAAAGACGAAGGTCCCGCCCACTCAGATGCCTTCGATGCTCCAATACGCGTCTTCCAATCGATCCTGCCTTGAAGCGGGTGTAAAATCAAGACCGGATCACCTCCTCGCCCACGACATCGTCACCGGCTGAAGATACACAAGCGAACGCCGCGACCCACCTTAAGCGCGACTTCTTCACCTGATCAGGTTATGCCGATGGCGTACCTACCTCTGGATGGCATAGTGAAAAGGGGAAATGAGGAGGCGCTATGCAACTCACCCTGCCAGCCCGACCTCTTCTCTCGGTCGTCGAACACACAGCAGGCCTCCTACCGGCCTCGTGCCGCGCCGGTAATTGCGACAAATGCATGCGATATCACATCTTCAGGATGAACCGCCACGACCACATGCGGTCTTGATGCCAGACACACAAACGCTAATCAACTCCACTGGATCACCCTCTTTGCATCGGCCAATTAGGAGCGCGTCTGTCCACCAACACTACAGCAGCCAGATGTCTGTCAAGCCAGCCATGGTCAAGCCGAGAGCTACGGCGGAGAAGCGAAGATGTGAGGCCATGTGGCCGGTACACTCCTCTCATTCCCTCTTACCATTTCACGAGCTAATGCGCAATAGAAGTAACCACCTAATTCCTGCGGTCTTCTCCCCACCCCAAACGCAGTCGATACCGCGCGATATTCCCCGAACGCTTCCGTACACGTACTCTCTGTCCACTTATGGAGGCATGGTCGGCAGCCCCGATGAAGTAAAAGGAAGTGGCTGCGGCGGAGATCACATACTTTATATACAACGGAACGAGGATGTGGTACGACCGGATG